AGGCTATACACTCTTTTGAAAAACATTTCCCTTTCTTTTGCTCGTATGCACTTTTTTTCTGCTCGGACAGCTGTCGCTGTCGCCGTTGATGTTCATATTGCTCGGTCCATATTTCTTGCCTCTCAAGAATAGTAGGGTTGAGTAGGACTGTAAGCAAATTAGACGCACCTCTTGACAATGAACGCCATGTACTTATTATGCGTAGGTTCATCTTTCGTTGCACTGCAGCCATGTGCTTGTCGACTATTGCTAGCAAGACTACAGTTGCCCAAGTTAATGCCTCGTACAGTTGTATTGATTCTACAATTGTTGACAATAGCTTTCTGCATACTGAACATGGTTCTTCTATATTTGGTAGAGAGAGAATAGCAAAGGTCTCAGATGAGAACCATGTAAAAGTTGCATGTTGGTCTTCCACCACTACCGATTTGTCTTGATGTAGGAGACCTTCTATGCCTCTTAGTCACATTCCAAGTCCGAAGGCTTTAAATTCATCGGCTGTTTTAATTGCTCTCCCTCTCTCTATTTCTCTCGATCCGAACTCACTCTACATTATTCCCTTAACGATGTCTTTCAATTCACTCCGCTATTTGCTGTCGCGAGCGCTTTTACTTTATGGTTTCAGCGTTAATGCTCGGCGCATTCCAGTATTTACGGGCTCTTTTTTCAAATGCGACGACTTTGAAAATATTTCATTGTTCTTTGTAATCTGTGATTCTACTGACATCAACAATACATCAAGATTTGAAGTTGATCGGGATATGCTGCGCTTTCTAATTGTGTCGACGCTGCCAGGCTTCCCTCTCTCTCATCCAAGATCTCTTTCTCTCTATTGTACTTTTCTTCGGCCGCGAGCGAGGTGTATGAAAATGTGTGCGTGCTAACGGGACTGTGGCTATTATGTATCCAGCACCAGCTGCTCTCTCGGCTCGCTTACTTCTCTGTCTCTTTCCGTACACACTCGCTACGTGATCTTCGACCCGGAGGATGCATGTATTATGTATACTCTACAGGGAGAGACAGAGAGGAGCGGAGGCCGGAAGCGGCCAATCGGCAAACGAGACAGCTGCTCGACATCTGCGGATTAGATTCTATGCGGCTCTCCTCTCGCTCGCGTTTCATTAGTGCCTATAGCGAGAGTGATAAAAAAGCAAAGTAAACAAGTTTTTGAATGCGATTGTGGAAAAGCTTCGTTAGTGAGATCGAACCTAGTGAAATGGGATACCACGCGCCGATGATCGCTGACACTAGTATGCCGGTACGTGCGCAAGCTCTTGTAAGTCGTTGACATAATAGCGATTTATACAAACATTTATGTATCGTTGAAAGGTTTACTATTGTAGCGATCTCTCGCGCTTGAATTAGCGTTATTGGCGTCTTTTTAACGATTCCACTGCATTAATGTACCAAAGAGGAAATAATTGCACAAGGCAGGGCCCGAGAAGAAAACGACTCGTAGACTCAGGATCGTTGTATCGATGCTTGAACGCAGTAGGGTTAACAAACGCAAAAGACCGTCAACAACCTCTCGCACTTAGACCGCCTCGATGTTTCGGAAAAGCCCAGCAGCGCAAAGGAGTGAAGGAGCAAAGGGTGACAGGCCGGAGTGGCGGCTCCTGCTGCTCCTTCAGCAGCAGCAATTCGCGGCTTGGGCCAAAGGAAGGCACGCGCGTGGCGACCCTCGGACAAACGCTGCCTGCGAATACGTTCATCGCGATCGTCTCTCAAATGAAGAATGGGAGTCGTACTCAAATGAACCGCTGTAGCCCTCTTTATTTTACGTTGATTGTTACCGATTTAAGCTCCTGGGCATTCGATGCGATAGGACATGAATTAAAGATCCGTGTTTATGAGTCACATAATACGGCTATTCAAGAATACCCCGGTAACAAGACTAGCGCCAACAATAATAATGATAAAATAATTCTTGCTTTAGTTGTGGTCTCAGCCACGCCTGTTCGCGAGCGCCATCTAGCCACCCGCGTCAATAATAACGGCAGCAGTCAGCAAGCACTTATGACTGTGACGGACAAGCTTTGCACGGATTATCGCCAAAAAACAGCCGTGGCATTAGACGCGGCACTTGTCTGGAAGAAGGGGACAGCTGCGTTGCTCATTGTATTAAAAGTGAGGGGAGCTGGTCCGTACGCCTCTCCTCGGCGGATTATACAAATCTAGGGGCGATTCACAATACGAACATAATACAAGATCGCGTGAATGAAGCTGCGCCTGCAAGCGTCTGTTTCTGACAATGACTCATTGTTATGTATCGATTAGTCTGCATGTCTTTTTCTTAAAGATAGCGGCCAAAGTATCTCACTGCAGCGCTTCACTTTGCGTTTTGCGCTGCGGATCCCCACGATGGCTCGTCATAGAGGTCTTGGACGAATTCAACTTTTAAAACTCAAAAGCACGAAGCCCGTCAATCCCACATCAGGAATACCATTCTTCATGTATATTCGCGTAAAGTGCTTGCATTGTAGATGCGTCTTGGACTTTTGCGGAATTGAAGAAGCAGCCGACTTGTTGAGAGACGCGTGTTCACTCTTCGCCGCAGTGTTACGAACGTACACACAGCGCGTTTCGTTTTGCGCGAGGGTGCGTACAAAAATAAACGGGAATAATACAGTCGACGTCAGCGAGTCCTGACGTCGACTGTACGCCTCTGGACGTTCGGCGTTTCTTTTCGTTTTTCAGCATGAGCGCAAACATCGCAGGTGTAGTCGATGTGTCAGAACTGTTGCTCATTGACGAGCGTAAGGTGGTGCGCGACTCAGTCTCGCCCAAACGAATGAGACTAAGCGATAGGCCTACGCGTCAAGGTCGATCGTTCGATTCGCGGCCAAACGTCGTTGCGGAGCGTTCGTTCTCGCCTTTTTCGCGAGGGCCGGGCCGTTGCCGTCACGGTGAGCGGTCATTAAATGCGGCGATCTGGGGGCATTTGCATAGTGCTGCACTGCCATGTTGACTACCGAGAGATGCGCACGGCGACGAATCGAGCTGATCGGCTTCGCGTCTCCGTTGCTGCGGCTGCTTCGAGTGGGAGTGCCTAAGTGAGCAGCGCGCGTAGCCGAGAGACAGGAACGAGGTCTGCTAGAATGGCGGGAGCGACGATAACGCGCGATTTCGTAGGCACCGAGGGGTCGGGGGCTGACTCGTTCGCCGATGAGTCACGCCGAGGGGGAGCGAACGCCGCGCCGCCGCGCCGAGACCCCGCAGCCTCCCTCGTGTCTCTCCGTCCACGCGCGTGGTCGCGCGGCGCCGAGCTCTCCCTTTCTGCGACTGAAATGACCCGGTGGCTTTTGCGCGCCCTTCGATCTGTTTGACGAGTACGCAGACTCGCCTAATGTACGCTTCGGAGTTGGTCAAAAGCGTCTCTATCCCTTTCGATGGTCCGCCCGCTTCGACGAAGAACGACGAGTGCTCACGCAGCTCCGCGCATTGGACACGCTTTATTTTATTCGAAGCACCTCGCTGCCACTCGCTAATTGATCCTGCTCGTTCCTTTAATCTTGACGACGCACGGAAGGAGCGCTATTCCCCTCGCCGGCGACCTCTCCTTTTTATTGTCGGAGGGCCTTTGCGCTTCAACTCACGTTAGGTTTATCAATTGTCGGTGGAACAATAAGTCAGCCAAACAGCTACTTGTATTCCGACACTCATGTGCGAATCCAGAGCACTATTGGCAGTATAACATTACATTAAAGTGCTGTTCTTGACATTCGATAAGCCGAGTCTTTCTTTCTCTCTCTCTCTCTCTCTCTCTCGCTCGTCACTTTTTGCGTATTCAAAGGTCAGCGGCTTCCCTTCTGGGCAAGAGGGACAACGTCGATGGCTTCGATCCTTTCTGCGGGCTTTGCCCGCGCGCACCAAGATCCGAACTACGCCTATTTCGGAGCAAAGCTTTCTCATTCTCCTCGGCTCTTCCCCTTGGTTCTTCCACCTTCGGTCCTTCTGCTCTGATGCATCGCTCGAGAATCCCGACTATGCCTAATGGAAACAGCTGAATCGCAGGCCTTTGCGCAGCCAGTTGTGTATTCGCGGAGGGGATGTATTCACGGGACTACCGAACTCTCAAATTGCACCAGATCAGGCCACTACGTCCAACTGATTGGCTCGCGCTGAGCGTTCATAAAGCTGCTGTGTCTTGACTCGACTGCGCCTATCAATCATTGCGCAGCCAAGGAATGCGCTCTTATCTGTGAGCGCTGATCATTAATCACGCCGCTAACTGACTCGAGATCCACGCGGCAAGACTGTAGTAGAGCAAATGAATCGCAAGAGGCCCTCCATTTCAAAAACACTCGCTCGAGGATAGAAGGGCCTGTAGAGGCGAGCGCCATGCAGGCAGCTGCGAACAGTCGGCAAGCAAGGCAACAGTCGCTCGGCCCGGGTATTCGCGGGACCATTGTCGGCTTCTCCCGCGAAGTTGACGATTGACTTTTTGCTCACGGACCGTCAGAGAATCAATCCCTCGCTGGACAACTTGGAGACAATCGCGATCGATAGAAGCTGACTGGAAGCGAGAGCCCGTTGCGGCAACTGAAAGCCGGCGATACTGGTCGACGCGCGCGGCGATTGCTAAACGTCCCGAGGCGGGCGCGTGGTAGGAAAGCCCAGACACGCAGTCGCCAGCTGCAGGTGGACAAAGCACAATACGCACTAATCGAAGCCACTGCCGTGATCACTGTGTCACACGGCTAAACCCCTCTAATGCACCTTCACGGCCACAACTCGTCTTCCGGATTGGCGTGGCTTTTCACCTGGTGCTGTTCCGCATACCCCAAAATGCGCACGCCAAAGACAACACACGCGAGTTTCCAAATGAGCCGGCAAAGAAAGCGCAGCGATTCGTCTTAGTTCACCGCTTCGGCGAGTCTCGGAATAGACACCACGCGCGTGCAGGGCCCGAGGGAGTCAACGGATTCCGCGAGCCGCGCGCAACGATTGCGCGGGCTTGCAGTGCGGATAACAGGACCATTACAACGGAAAATACGTACCAGCGCCTCATCGCAGTAGTAGTCGTCATTGTCTTCGGGGCTCCCAGTCGAGAGCTGCTCCTGCCGACGCAGCCAATCCATCGTCTGGGCTTGGGCACTCGCGGACGCGTGGCGCGTTCCTACCTCTGGCGCGGCCATCGCAGCGACTCGACCACCGCACTCGCGCTTTCTGCACCGCGGACCGAACTACGCGGAGTTAAGCTAGTGCCAAGTCGAAGCGACAAGCCGGCCGAAAGGAGACTGACTGCGCACGAGTGTACGTCCGTCCATCTCGCGCCGGCTCCCCTCCCGCTCGTCCCCCTGCTCCCGGGCCGCAGCACGTGCGAGACTGCGAGCGTGGCACGAGAGAGAGAGAGAGAGAGAGAGAGAGAGAGAGAGAGAGAGAGAGAGAGAGAGAGAGAGAGCTGGAGGGGGTCTCGGCGAATAAAGGGAGCCAGGGCGCAAGCCTGCTCGCCGCCAGCAGCGTACGGAACCTATATATACTGAATTTCGTTAAACGAAAGCGCGACAAATAGCAGACAGACGGCAGCAAGCCAAGCAGAGAGTCGTGGCGCTGATGAAGCGATACAACGAGTGCGGCGGCCTAAGGAAGGGGCTTCCTTTCTAATATTTGTGATACCTCGCTTCGCCAAGGATAGTCGCGGATAAGACAAATTTTCCGTATCTTTCTACGAATCTCGACTCGATAGCTGCGGACGAGTAGTAGGGCCGCTATTGAATGACAACCCAAAACAATGTCAAAGTGTGGCGGGAAATGAAGTCGCTTGCGTCGGTTGTCTTCTACTCAACTCCTTGTCAAAGAAAGAAAACTCGATGTCTCGCTTTGGTGCTTGCTCCTTTCACGTGGTCATGGATTGTGTGGGCACAGGCGCGCTCCGCGCGCGAGACAATGCAGAGAGGCCTGGCTTGCGCCTGCCTGCGCGTCACTTTGAGCGGCTTGGCGAGAAATGCAGCTGCAGATTTTGCGATCGACAGCGGTGCAGCGTTCGTTTGAACGACGCATGGCTAGCTGGACCGAGATCGAAGCAGCTCGAGTGCAAAATCGAAAGAGACGCGGGATTGAGTTCGAGGAGTTCGCAGTGAGGAGGACCCGCGGGTGACAGAGCCCTCGAGACGTAGAAACGCAGCGCGAACTGGAGCGGGCAGACGTGCTCGATCGGAGGCTGGATGCAGCGGCAGAAAGGTTGACGGTAAAGCCTGGCGAGCCGTTGGGAATGCGATGAAGTCGACGAGAGAGGGCGCGACGAAAGAGCGAGGGGAACAGACCGAAGGACGCTCGGGCTCGCATATTTGCGTCTGCGTCGTGCGACTGGCTGAGTCGAGCGTTGAGCGGACAGCGAGCTCGCCTCGAGTACGCACTGTCCGACGCCGGACGGATTCGCCGGCCAAACATTCCAAGCGCACGCTCTCGGAATCGCGCCAGCGGTGAGCTTGGCAGTCCGGCGCGCGCGGCTGTGCGTGTAGCGTCGTCATGGCGAGAGCGTCTCGAGTCCCTGCGAGTCGGAGCCAAGCCGGAGCGGCATTAGCTGCGCGCGTACAAATGCCCTCTAGCGGAGCGCACGTTTCCTTGTTGATTCCGCGAGCGATCAAAGGCTCTGCACTCGTGTGAGTGGATCCTCGTCGAGAGTCGTGCCGCGCCCGCAGCGCCGACGTAAACGCGACGGAAAACGCCGAGCTTTCGGCAGAGAGCCTATCCTCGCGAGATCGAAGACCAGCTTGACTGGCGCCGCATTTTCGATGAGAAGTCGGCTGACTAGCGCGATATCGCGCTCCATCTGTTCGTAGACTCAGCAGCCCAGCTCGGCGATAATGAGCGTTCCCGAGACTGGAGCAATAACAGCCTCTTATCGATTCGCAGCTCACGCGACAGCAGCTGCCGCTGCTCACTACCAGGCCAACGCCTCGCTCAAACTCAACTGTGTCTTCTACCACTGCAATCTCGCTTTCGGAATTGGACAACCAGGAGCGAATGTTGGACACGATCATTTGCTATTGACTCTTTCGTCGCGTTCACCTGAGCCCTGACGTTGAACGGCTCGTTCAACACACCAAGCTTATGTCTGGCTTCTGCCTTTCTTCTGTCTTACCAAGCCTCACCATCACCCCAAACAGGCCAACGTTCGCTCTTACACACCTTGTCTCTGTGTCATCGAGTCGATCCCCCCGTTGCGCGTAGCTTTGGCATAGGTGTGTAGGTCTGTTCAGCAGCTTCTTTTCATCAGGTTCAACGCTGACTGATCGCGAATTGCAACAAGCAGCTCGACCGAGACGAATGGTGTGCTCGATAATGATCCTCGAACAGCATTAGCCTAAGCCGTCCACGTTATATCCAACCTTGTTTCTAAGGTCCCCCGGTCCTGGTATATAGGAGTTTCTCGTCTTGTAGTCGTCTCAGTCTTGAAAATGTCAGTTGCCGTAATAACGAGGCGGGAAAAATACACATCTAGCCGTGATCGCTACTTCCGAGACCTGTTCACTGATTAATATGCAGCTGTCTCGTGTTTTATGCAAGACTGCTGCGGGCGATGCGCCGCTGGACTGGACATTAGCCGAACGCGTTTTCCGAGCATTCACTGTAGACGAACCCCTCGAGCAAGCACAGCGCCACGTTAATTCGATTTCTCTGCCTCCTGTACCTACAATACGCACATATGCACGACCTGTCCAACCGAGTTTGCTATGCCCCAAGCGTCTCCACATTTGCAAATCATTCTATCCACTGTCTGTTCAACATCCCTGACTATGAATATTTCGAACGAGGAAATAACGGAACGAATGAGATTGTTATTAGAAGATAGCTCCATTTTCTTCTAAATTTACTTTGACTAATTGCATATTTGAAAGCCATTCCTATAGAAATGAAATTTTCCCATTTCTACATTTGTAAATTGATCTATTCTAGTATAAGGATCTAAGCTTCTAAGCTCAAAAAGTAATGTATGAAAGATTGGACGGCACACGCTTATGTGTGACGGAAAGAAATAATGGAGACAGCGCGATTCGCAATATTTTTTTCACGTATTAACGATACACATTAAGTTTCTGCCGGTAAATTAAAATTATACATGGCTGTACAAGACACATTCTAACGACATTTAAAATAAATTTATTTGACTGGCAGAAATAGATTTCACGAAGAAAAAATATTATTTTCAAGGTTCAAAAATGTCTGATAATATTACACGGCAGTTAATCTGTGCAACTACGCGATAACCAACTCCCACTTTAGAATTCGATCAAACTAAAACGTGGTATCACTTGAAGACTTCATCGAAATGGAATCTTTGGCAACAAATATACATGTCGGCCGATTAATTGAGCAGCTCTTGCTTGCTTTTATCCTTAGGGAGACATTTGAAAAAGATCTGCCTTTTTAAAACTTTTTTCAATGGGATATATCGCTGTTTATATAACTTATCTGGAGAGTCATGGAGCCACGATGCTTGAATAAGATAAACTTGACTATTTTCAGTCGATTTTCGATGAAATGTGAGTTACTCTGGATAATCGTAAATGCAGTTGACGATATATAATTGAATCATTGTAGTTCTGGATTTAGTCTCTGAAGTGCGACTGTCGAGGTATTGTCGCAGGTGTGAAAGAAGACAAGACAAAAGAAAGATGTAATAAATCGCCTGAGGCAAGCGAGCCAAGTATATCAGCTACACTTTACGTGCACTCGAAAGCTCGCACCACGCGTCTTCGCTGAGCGCCAACAGCAGTAACGTACTTAACGAGTCGGGAAAAGTGGCGCTCGCGCTCGTGACGCGCAGCCCCTCAGTTCAACTCTAATCCCAGACATGAGAATAAAGTGGCGTTGCGCAACAATCGCGAGTCGTGCTTTCGTCTCGCGATTGTTGCGCCGTTAAAACGAATGCGCAGTAACGGTCCCAGATGCGCGGCCGCTCTCACCAATGTCCGAATCGTACGTGCAAATATGCTCGCTGATCACGATGCAAACTAAACTGTTCTCAAGAAATAAGAGCGTGCTATTATTGGCCGTGAACGATTCTAATGCAACACTCGGTCTACGAGTCGGCGACTCCATTGAATCGGCCTATTCTCACGAGACAAGCATTGAACGAGGCTGCTGGCTAAGTATCTTTAGTGTCAAACTTGCCGGTAGGACGTAGCCGTGGCTCTGCAAGACAAATCGCAAGCTTCACTGAATGTCGCGTTGAAATAACAGAGGCCGGCTTTCGCAGAGAGGCAAAGCCACAAGCAAATATCACAGACAACAGTTGAAGCCATAGAGTCAGCTCCTTAGAAAGATCTTCATTGGTAGACTTATAATCGGCTAATGCGTAAACCGTAGAAATTCGATGGCAGAGGACCAACGTCACACTCCGACGGACAGAAGCTAACTGATAAACCCCGTCCGGTTTTTGCGAGGACGAGATGTGAAACGCAAAAGCGGTCTTTGAGGCGAGCCGCACAAAGCTCACGTCCACTGCCTATACATGTATTGGAGAATCCATAAAGTTCGAAATCAAAATTGTTTTCGACGATTGAGCCTCGATCGATTAGGTCGAGGGCTTATTTTGACAAGTTGACCTTGATCTAATCTTGTTTGGTGTAATTGATGTTCGATCGTCGAAAATCGTTTGAATTTTGAACTTGGCAGATCAGATTTTTATTTTGTCCGGGCAGAGTACATACACAAAAGCTGAATGCTGTAACACTCTTTTGATCAAATAACAGGAAACGACGACACTACTTGCTGGCCTCAGATGATCTGATAATGTTAGAGGTGCTGATCGGGAAACAACCAAGGGACATTTCTAATAAGAATCGTTATATCAACCAAGAAAACGATAGCTCTGTCGCTTTTTAATTACAGCCAAGTCGCCAGACGTTACATCGTCGATCATTTTTGGCCATGTACATTGAACGATGGTGGTTGAGCTCGTGGTGAATCAGGCAACAGCTTGGCGTATTCAATACTCAGCTTTTGGTTCGCAATAATTAGTATACAACTGGATCGATGGCAGTAAGAGCGTAAGATGCCAAGATAGGCGTGCGAATTGTTGTGCCGTGATTTTCGGAGACGCATCTTTCACGCGCACACAATGTTAATCAGCTCTTATTGTATGGTATAGGCAATTGTTATCGGTTTTTTTTCGCAAAAATCAGCGGGTACGTAAGAAACGTAAACGGGAACGGCTAAAGGTGCTACTACAGTTGATTGTACGATCGCTGGTGACGAGGGTTCGGCGGATCGACT